TCAACGCTTTCACAGCCATCAATGTAATTTTCTTTTATTTATTTTTTTGTTACAAACAGCCATAGATTAATTACACTGTCCTTAAATATTAGTAATCTGATTACAAACATTCAGAGAAAATCATTTTAGCAAAGTCAGCAGCGCTTATCCAGAAAGTATGAGTGGTGGGTAAATAATACTCCCTCCGTCCCATAATTATTGTCCAGTTTGAGTTTTTAGTTTTAATATAAATTGAACTAAAAACGAAAATCTAAAGTGGACAATAATTTTGGGACAGAGGGAGTACTATATATAATTTACTAGCTGTTTTATTACGATATTCACTATTACATGGAGTGTAATAAATAGTGATGTATAGTGTAAGGATTCTTAAATAAAGAAAAAACAAGCAAGTTAAATTTCTACTGTTGACTATTACAATTGTTGACATTGTAAAGTTTCAAAATGTTAAGAATAAACACGTTTTTTCAATAACTTTGCAAACCATAAACCATAAATTATGAGAATCTCTATAAAAACAGGTATGGAACTCAAAACGAGTCACTATACAAACAAATTCTAAAGGCTCATATAATTAACAATGGCCAGAACCCTTCAAAATTGTGCCATCATTTTTTTCATGATGGCATCATTATTTTTCCCGATGGGATTCTCCGACTTGCTTGAAGACACATGCAACAAAACCCCACATCCCGATCTTTGTAACTCCATCCTAAGGGAAGACCCCAAAAGTCAGAATGCCGATCTCCCTGGTCTAACCCTAATCATGCTTTCTTCACTCTCCCACAAGTGCAACGTCGAAATCATAACAATCGAACGACTCAAGAAGAAACGTTCGAGTTTAAGGCAGCCCTTGTCGGAATGCCGGGTGATTTTCGATTCCGTTATGGCTGGCATTAGAAATGCTACGGATTGTGTAACAAATAATCAACCTAAAATGGGTGAAGAGGTTGCGAAATATACCATAACTAAGGGTATTGATGACTGCGAACATCATTTTCAGACTCCTTCTCCTTTGACACCTGAGAATATCTTGAATAGTCGTATTAGTGTCAATATCTTTTATATGTTCATCCAGATGGAGATGGAGTTTTAATCACTTGGTTTGTCCTTTTATGATTAAAAAAACAAAATAATAAAATGTTTCTTCTTCTTCTTCTTCTTTTTATATTATTTTATTTTTTGGCAGGTGCAGATTGTATAAATCTTTTGCTGCATGGAAGTATGCAACCCTTTGTGAATTTCTATTTTTTTTTTTTTTTTTTTGTTCTTGAATATTAAGGCTAAAATTTGACATTTTGGTACTCTCTTTAAGCGTTGTACTTCTGCTCTCAATCGTTTTTAGTTATGTTGTTGTTTGGGGATTCAATTGTTTATATAGAGCTACTAGTAATTTATATTCTTGACATGATATTTACATACCTTAAAAAACTAATGATGGCCTTACAATGGAAGTTAAAATCACTCACTAGCGACTACAAATTCGAAACTCGAAAGTTTATAACAATGGCCAAAATCCTTCAAAATTTTGCCCGTCATCTTCATCGTTACATCATTTCTTTCATTAGGTTTCTCTGATATGGTCTAACCCACATGCCACAAAAACCCCCCAAATTCCCAACTCTATGACTCTATCCTAAAAGGCAAAATCCATAACCCAAAAGGAAGGATGCCAATGACAGTGATCTAACTCGGTCGCCATGATTGATTCAATCCTCCACAAGCGGCGAAATCGTGAGTATCCAGATTTGCAAGAGATAGCTAGCCCTTGACCATATATGCAAGAAGATTTATATTATGCATTTTGACCTTGTGGATGCTAAGGATTAATTGTGCAAGCAATAGGGAATCTGAAGATGGTTTTCTGCCAGTATACCCTCTTCCTTTAGAACCTATGAATACGATCTAGTACGCAAGTTTGTGAAGTTATCTATGCTAGCTATGTTCAGCCGGATGACGAAGTATTGTTCTTTTTGGGATAAAAAAGGTGAGGAAAATTAAAGTTATTTTTGGAAGATGGTCCAGAGATGCTGCTTGTACCATTAAGCCTGGTTGTTTATGAATTTTGAGGGGGAAAAAAATTAAAACTAACTAAATTAATTTCATGGGCTATATATTAACTAATCGCACAATTACACCACAACATAAAGCATAGAACTGCGGATTGCACCTTTTTTCCCCCTCCATGTTAAGTTTGACATGAGAGCATGTATATCTACTACGAGTTCCTAATGTTTCACGAGTAGCAAACTTTGTTCTCTATATTCAGGAAACTAAAAATTTTGAGACATATATTTGAATATATGTATAGTCAGGAAACGAGATGACTGAGAGATTGCAGACTATATTCAAGTCAATATTTTGAGAACTTGTAATAACCACTGATTATTACAGTATTAAATGTTGTAAAGTTCAAGAATATTGGGAATAGACAAAAAAGTTTCAATAACACCTTCAACGGCCAGAAAGGATAATATTTGTCACAGGTCAAAATATACCTACAAATGGTGAAGCCGTTACAAATTCTGAGAATTGCTATATACTAGTTCTGGCATTCGTATAAATTATTCTGTTTAATAAGTTTTTTTTTTTTGCCGGTTAAGTAGTTGCTATTATTAGTTTAAATTATTAGAAATTGTAAACATTCGTTATCGATGCTTATAATAGTTGAAATTGCAAATACCATTGTACCGCAATATGAAATAATTAAAATTATAACTATTGAAACAAATTTGAAAGGTAGACATGAAACTTATGTCACGGCGAGCTCAAATATATATTGACAACATTTTCAACTTTTATGTTTCATTCAAGGTGAAGCCGTAAATAGAACCTTGAACGATTGGGACGCCTTTGATTGTAACATGACCACGTGCAATTGTATGTGTGTGAATACGGGCTCTCGCAAATATTAACCTATGTGCTTGAGAGTTTTCTATCCTGGACACTAATTCATGGTCATGGCATATAAGAATTCACATATTTTGAATGAAATGTCCTTGAGATTCAAATCTTCAAAGATTAGAGGTATTCTTGGTCTGAAATACTTTTTTTTCCTGTGTGTTAGCGACACACGTGTCTGCAAAAATGAGAAAATGCAGGTGTCTACATCTTTATAAGCAGTACAATCAGTTGGAATAATGAATACAATAGACACCTTGTGTGTCGGTCTCCTATCTCTGCACCAAACCATAAGGCATCTCTGTAAAAAAATTTGTTGGGACTTGATTTTAGTTCCGATGATGCAATTTCAAGGCCTATTTTGGCCTTATTCTAGTCAAGAACAGCTTTTTGTTTCTTAACAGAAATTGTAGCTATTTTTACCAGTTTAACAACAGTATCAATACCTCTTGATTTCTGTGTTCAGCTGGATTAAGTAATAAAATAATCAATCACTTGCGATTTGTCCTTGTTAAGGCTCAAATAGTTAAAAAGGACAAAGTTTGTTACTCCCCCGGTCTTTATTAAAGTCAACATTTTGAGAACTTGTAACAAACACTGATTATTACAGTATTAAATGTTGTAAAGCTCAAAAATATTGAGAATAGACAGATAAGTTTCAGTAACATCTTAAACAGCTAGAAAGGATAATATTTGTCATAGGTGATCAAAATATACTTACAAATGGTGAAATAGTCTTCAATTCTAGCCATTAAAAATTCTTAGAATTGCTAGAATTTCTATAAATTAATAGTGTTAGGACTAACAAAATTTATTATTTTAGGGAATTATTAAATAATTGATAAATTAATAAATTATTAATTTAAAAAATTTCTATAAGAAACAAAAACCGTCAGTAGATTACATAATTTGTGATTGTCTTTAAATTCGAATTAATCAAGTATTAAAAACTCTTTTGAATATTTGATATCCATACGTAGTTCATATTATCTCCAGTGACTAAAAAAGAAGTATCAATAATTTATATTACTAAATATTTAGAGTTATTATTATTATTTTTTTGCTTTTAGGGTATTTATTAATTTATGATGTTGTTGGGGCCTATAGATATATAGGAAATTTTCTGAAACATTATTATCTTATCATTTTATCGATTTTCTTCACTGTTTGTAATGGTCCCAAGTTGGGAACAGAGAATATTATTAATTGCTAGAAGTTATTAATTTATCGATTAATTTACCGACGTTCTACTATACTAGTTCTAGCATTCGTGTAAATAATTCTGTGTAATAAGTTTTTTTTGCTGGTTAAGTAGTTGTTGTTATTAGTTTAATTTATTAGAAATTGAACATTCGTTATTGATGCTTATAATAGTTGAAATTGCAAATACCATTGTACCACAATATAAAATAATTAAAATTATAACTATTGAAACAAATTTGAAAGATAGACATGTCGCTTATGTCATGGCGAGCTCGAATATATATTTGACAAGCAACATTTTCAACTTTTTATGTTTCGTTCAAGGTGGAGTCATAAATAGAACCTTGAACGATTGGGACGCCTTTGATTGTAACTTGACCCCGTACAATTGTATGTGTGTGAATGCTGGCTCTCGCAAATATTGACCTATGATCTTGGGAGTTTTCTATCCTGGACACTAATTCATGGTCATGACATATAAGAATTCACATATTTGGAATGAAATGTCCTTTTTTTTTTTTTTTTGACAGTAAAACAACCAGATTTTATTTATTCACTTAAGTCTTTTACAGCAGCTATTTTTACATCTCTTTGAAAATAATCATACCACAACAAACTACCATTAATTTCTAGAGCTAATTTTGCTATTACATGAGCTACTTGTAGAGATTATAGATGCAAAACAGCAAAGAGATCCAGGTTGATTTCTGTACTGTAAATAGTTGATTTTGGTGCTGTTAATAAGTAGTTTTAGTTAAAGGTGGTTAGCAGTAAATACAGCTGTAATAAGTCAGTTAGTTAGTTAGGGGCTCTCTTGTGTTTTCAGTTCAATCTTAGACTTGTATAAATACCAGAACATCGTGTACATTGTGAAGATGATGAAGTATTGATTCAGAATAAGATACACGTATTTCCTTTTTCTTCCCCAAATCAGATTTACACTTTACCTTCTTCAAACCCTAGAATGCTAGAGCTGATTCTTCTAGACTACTTTGTTACAACTTCGCTTTACATGACTAATCACCAAACTAGCAAAACCATCTTTCAATTTTCTAATGTCTTCAACGATATGTCCGATACTTGAAAGGTCTTTATCAAGTTTCAGCACCTTGTGAACAATGTTGATAGCATCTCCTTCAATTATGCAATGAATAACACCCTGATCATGTGATAAAGTGAAGGCTCTTAAGAACGCCAAACATTCGGCATGTTCAGCATCCACAATATGATAAGCCGGTTCGGCATAAACAGCTTCAATTTCCCCTTTATCATTTCTCACTACTATTCCAATTCCTTCTTTCCATCTTTAAAAGTTGCATCAACATTTAGTTTCAATATATTCTACGGTGGAGTTTTCCATGTTAGATTATGATCCTCCTTCACAACTTCGTTTTTCCCATTGAACAGTTTAAACTCTTCAACTATTTGTTTGGCAAGAGTAGTGATCATTCTTGGATCTCTCCGAATACCCCGATATCTGCTCTTCCAGATGAGCCAGAGAACTGCAGCTATTTCTTCCAACCTGCATTGTTCATAAGACTTCATCCATAACCAATCAAGGAAACCTGATGCCTTACTATAGATCTTTACATCTAACAATTCATCTTTCCAAATATTCTTCACCCAATGACATTCAAAAACTAGATGTCTATCTGATTCATCTTCAATCCCGCACCAGCTACATTTTGCTTCAACAAACTTCATCCTCTTCCTTAGTTCTGGCTTGGTCGCCAGATTTCTTCTACATAATCTCCATAGAAATATTTTAATTTTGGGAGGGATTTGTAGACTCCATAGTTTCTTCCATATCTTTTCTACTTCGACAATTGAAGATGTCTCCCCTTCAATGTTTCCATTCTTATGATTGACGGCCAGATTATAAGCTGACTTTACTGTGAATTCCCCATTCCGATTGTAGTGCCATATCCACTCATCTTCAGGCCAGCTGGTTATAGGGGAATTTTTGAGATTTCCTGCGCTTCAAACTCCAGAAAATGCTGTTGAAGTTTCCGCATAGACCACTGTCCAGCTTGAAAATCAATTAAATCTGCTACTCTTACCTCTCTAAGACGCCTATTGTGTGGACTTATAACTCTGAATGTTGTGGGTCCGGGAATCCAAGGATCCTTCCAAACATTGATCTTTCTCCCATCCCAACCCTCCATCTTATGCCCTCCTTAAGTAGCTTTCTGCCATTCATTAGACTTCTCCAAATATAAGAAGGACTACGTCCCAACTCAGCTCTTAAAAACTCTGCATTTCCAAAGTATTTCGCTTTTATTACCTTTGCAGCCAAGGAATCACCGTTTTTCAGAATTCTCCAGCACTGTTTAGCAAGTAAGGCTAAATTGAAAGCTTCTATATCTCGGAAACCCATTCCACCTTTCGCCTTAGGTTTGCATAAATCGTCCCATTTCGTCCAACATATCTTTTTCTCCCCTTCTTTGCTCCCCCACTAGAAATTCCTGACCAGAGCCATTATTTCACAGCAGAAAGATTTAGGCAACTTGAAGCAGGTCATCACATAATTTGGTATTGGTTGTATAACTGCCTTTATTAGAATTTCTCTCCCCGCCATAGAGAGAGTTTTTTCCTTCCGTCCCTCTAATTTCCTTTTGATTTTCTCTTTAATATAGACAAACACCTCATTCTTCGATCTTCCAATCAGGTAGGGCATTCCCAGATATTTCCCTTTCCCATCATCTATTTTCACTCCCATCTTACTTGCTACTTGGGACTGAATAGACAGATCAACATTTTTTTCATAATACAATCTCGACTTCTCAAAATTAATTTTTTGTCCAGCCGATGATTCGTATGCATACAATACTTGTCTCACAACTTCTGTTGATTCATCCTTTGCTTCAATAAACAAGATACAATCATCAGCAAATAGTAGGTGTGAGATTCAGATCTTCAGAGATTAGAGGTATTCTTGGTATGAAATACTTTTTTTTCCTGTGTGTTAGTGACACACGTGTCTGCAAAAATGAGAAAATGCAGGTGTTTACATCTTTATAAGCAGTACAATCAGTTGGAATAATGAATTCAATAGACACCTTGTGTGTCGGTCTCCTATCTCTGCACCAAACCATAAGGCATCTTTGTAAGAAATTTTGTTTGGATTTGATTTTAGTTCCGATGATGCAATTTCAAGGCCTATTTTGGCCTTATTCTAACTTTTTGTTTCTTAACAGAAATTGTAGCAATTTTTACCAGTTTTACAACAGTATCAATAACTTTTAATTTCTGTGTTCAGTTGGATAAAGTTAAAAAATATTCAATCACTTGAAGATTTGTACTTGTTAAGGCTCAATTAGTTAAAGAACAAAGTTTGTTACTCCCCTAATCTTTATTAAAGGCATTTTGATTTGTTCGGAATTTTATTTAATATACTATCTAATTGAAAATAAAATATTAAAAGTATTTTATAATAATTAAAAAAATACAATAAATGTTAAAATAGTTTTTTAAGAGTGGGCAATGGTGGTGGACCGGTGGTGAAAAAGTGTTAGGCTATTTCAATTTCTTTTGTGTGATAAAATCCAAATGAAGGTTTAAAATGCCAACCTAATCATGCAACAACTGGGCCTTGCGATTTAGGTGTAGCACGAAATAAAATACAAATGATAAAATAAAAGTTAATTTCGCTCATGCGATCGTCGAATGATGTATAGAAGAGTTGATTCTATAAGAACTTGGGCTGATTAGATTAGCCCAGTTTTTGGGACAATATTTCAGCAAAGTATTGTAATATATTTATTTCTTAAGGGTAAAAGTTTTTTAAAATATGACATTATACAGTACTCCCTTCTTTCTGAAATTATTGTCAAGTTTAGATTTTTAATTTTAGTACAACGTGAATTCAAAGAGGAAGTCCAAACTAGACAATTATTTTAGGACGGAGGGAGTAACTTATTACATAAATTTCAAGTATTACTGTTGGATCGTGTGAAATTATAGAATCTTGAGAATAAATGCGATCCAGTTATTTATTACTAACATTGAAGTGTCAAATAGGAAAAATTAATATTTGTTATAAACCATAAAATACATACATGGTTAATATTTACACAGTAGAAAAGTCAGTAAATTAATGATCTATAAATTAATAACGTCTAGCAATTAATAATTTTTTCCGGTTCTAACTTGGAACAAGTATAAAAAGTGAAAAAAATCGATAAAATGATAAGATAATAATACTTTACAAAATCTTCTATGTATCTATAGGTCACAACAACACCATAAATTAACAAATACCCTAAAAGCAAAAAAATAATAATAATAACTATAAATACTTAGTAAATATGAACTGTTGATACTTATTTTTTAGTCTTTGGAGATGATATGAACTATGTTTAGGTTTATAGTATTTAGAAGTGTTTTAATATTTGATTAATTTGGATGTAAAGACAATTGCAAATTAAGTAATCTAGTGACTGTTTTTTTTCTCATAGAAATTCTTTAAATTAATAATTTATTATTTAGTCGATTTTTAAATAATTATTTAAATTAAATTTTGGTGGTTCTAATACTATTAATTTATAGACATTCTACTGCATTTCTAATAATTGCAATCCCTAAGAATTGCTTTCTAATAATTACATGGGTGGGACTTCCGTAGTCAAGATTTTTAGTCAGCCAGGGCTTCTTCGACTGGAATTCTTATCGGCTAGATAATTTCGCCCAGAGAAGGCAGGGTTAGGCTAAAATCTCGGTTTGCATTGACCCGGCCTAGGTATATTCCCAGCAGGTGATAAAGCAGGTTGAGGGTTTCAGTTGGCTCAAGCTTCTCCGGCCAAATTTCGGGACAAGTCGCTGGTCTTTTCTTTTTAATGTTTAATTTGTCTTTAGTACAAATGCATTCATTTTAATATATTAAGTAACTAATAATTTTATTAGTTAAGTTGATCGTAATTTTATTATTAGGGATTTATTTAGTTAGTTATGTATTTGAATATGGTATTATTAGTGTTGTCTTACTGCGGAAGGCATGATGTAGGCCCACATTTACATTAATTTAAATTTATATTTATTAATTGTAAACAAAATAATTAAAAAAAAAAAAAAAAAAGGCACCAGTATGTGCGCATAGAAAGGGTAGTAATGGACATGGTTCGTGGGGTACCTGATGCGGTCATGATTAGACCATTAAGGATTGTTCCATGCTATAATGACCAGCATATTAATGTTATTATACTGTTGGAATTTGATAACTTATGAGCTCAAGAACGATGGAAGATTGAAGTCGTAATTACAAAGTGAAGAACTCCAGCAGTGTTTTGTTAACTTATCTGTCGACTTTTTGACATTGACGATAAAATCGACGACAACATTTTCAGTTTTAAATTCTTTAAAAAAATTTCCTGCAAATTTTTAATTATGTTTTCCTTTTCAGTAACTTAGGGTCGGCCCTATCCCTCTATTTAAAAGAAAAGACAGCCTCCATGTTCAGGAGGATTTTGATGAAAATATAAAAATAAGAGAGGATCTCGTTTCTCTTAATCCTTTAGAAGTTAATTTAGCTTCTGCGAAATTATAAGCTTACACTTATAACAATTATACTGTTAGATTTCGTGTTCTCAATTAGTAAAGATTAGTTAGCCATTTTATAAAATTTATCAAATGTTTTCGTCGAAAATCGTAAACCGAGGGTTTTGTTTGGAGAATATATAGGGGCTTACCATAACACTTTCTTCATCTCAAATCATTAATTCCATCCATTTTTGTTTGAAATTTTGTCGGTTCGAATCTTTTTGCAAAGAATTCATGTTCTGGAGTTGCTTTCACGTCATCCACTGATAATTATTCATACCAGTACCGGTGTAGTGCAATAGTTTCGCTTGAAACATTTAGTCTTCATAGGTTATTTAATATATTTATGATTTTGTATTTTAATCGTTATTTTTATCACTTTTCATTTGTCTACTATTGTAAAGATTTAAGGTTTGGACTAATGTTAAAAAAATTTCTTTCGGTGGTAAAAGTTTTAAATGTGAAATGTTTGAAGTCATTAAAAGTGAAACTACTTTTCTTTTGGCATCATGATAAAACTTGGATTTCTAACTTCAGTCTAAACTAAATCATACTATTTTTATTTAATTTTGATGATTATTTATTTTTGTTTTGCTACATACATGTTTGGTTAGTAAAATATAGGATGAGAAAATTTTATTGTTATGATATGAAAGAAGAAAAAGATAGAAGATTTATTTTCCAAAGATAAATACGATTTACAAAAAAAGGAAATAATCAAGTTTTGATTAGAAGAAAAATTCTTGATTTATAAAGTGAAAAACTTAAAATCAAATTAGGTTTTCAAGATTATAGGGACTAATTTCAGAAAACTATTTCTTATGTGATATGATGACTTCTACAATTTTTTATACACGGAATCTTAGGTGTCAAGTGTCACATGTGTAAGTGAATAAAATTCTTAAGTTTGGTTTTTGTATCTAATATAATAAGATGTTTAATTATTTCGAGTGATTGTTATTTTATAATTCTTAATATATATATATATATATTTATTGGTTTTTACAGGACTCGAAGAAGATTTGTGTGGTTAGTTTAGATTATATTAGCAGTTTCTCCACTTGGAAAATATTTGCAACAAAAAACGATGCATATGGTTTTTTGAATTAATTATATCTTCGCACAAGAAGAACGACCGATTATTGCACTATAAAAATAGTGAACAACGCACATGGAAATAATCATGTGCAAACTGCAAACAAATACAAATACAAAATTTCCTAGTGCCTTTCGTAATCATGTGCAAACTGCAAACAAATACAAATACAATTATATCTTGGATGGCTCGCTAGCAAGAGTCTCGATCATGGATGCCTCGCTGATGAGGGTGGCATGGACCTGAGTCAATATTGAAGGGATCTTCTGTCTCACTAGTAATCTAGAAAATTTACTCTCGTATAATTAATTTATATTTAAATTAGTAGAAACACACAACTACTTGAATGGATATAATTTAAATGTAATATATACTAATATATTTATACTAATAATTCAAAAAACAACAACCTATTTCATGTTTCCTCTAACATCACGAATTAATTAACACCTAATTACCTTATCTAATACTCCCTCCGTCTCAAAATAATTGTCCAGTTTGCATTTTCAATTTTAGTACAATTTCAATTAAAAATGAAAATACAAACTGGACAATAATTATGGAACAGAGGGAGTAACAAATATATGATACAAATTAAAAACATTTCTACATCTTACTATATTAGAAGCAAAAACCACACTTAAGAGAAAGCACCACCATTTGTCATGTGGCATTTCCACATCATAGTTTTAAAATAAATTTTTATTTACACATCAGTTTCCTAGACTTAAAAGGTAAATGCAGTCCAAATCTACCACCACCTCCTATTTTCGCAAAAAAAAAAAACACGACTTCATAAAAAACACAAATCCTCATCTCCATCTCCACGACAATCGACTCCCTAATCAATCCCTTCTCCACAATAAAAAATAAATAAATTTCTCATCAATCATCAATTGAGAATATGTGGTGAAATATACTTCTTTCCTATTAGCATATTCAATCCTTTCATTAGTGATGATCAACTACATCCTAATCAGATAAAATTTCGACTTTAAAAAATATTCTCTTTACCTCTCTATATAAACACAAAGGGAAAAAAAAAATTCTCATTGATGTTGCTTTCGGCCGTTGTGGTGGTGCCATTACAGATATTAAAATTTAAATGATTTTATATCCACGGATCATTTGTACGGCTTTTATTATTTTTTGTTTTTCCCATTCAAGAATAGTATTATTACTATTATTTTTATGTGTCCACCCGTTACAGCTACCGTCGCCGTTGCCAGGTAATATGATGTAATTTCTTATATGGTTAGTCAACTTAGAATTTTTGTATGCTTTTAGTTCTGTTTGAATTAAATTGATCAATTGGGTTTTTGTCACAAAGTGTGGTTTTTTTAATTTCTTTTTTATGTTTTATTCATTTAGAGTGGTTTTTCTTTTTTTAATTATGGAGTCTCAGTTTTTTTCGTATATGGTCAATTATGAATTGTGTTTTTTCTTTGTTTAATTGCTTTTGATTTTGTTTCATACTCCCAGTTGACCAATTATTATTATTATTATTATTATTATTATTATTATTA